TTTTTTTTTTTTTTAAAGAGTGGGGGGAGAGAGAGAGGAGTGCAGAGGGGGAGAGAGAATCTTCAGCAGGCTCCCACCCAGCCTGAGGGGCTCGATCTCACAACCCTGAGATCAGGACCTGAGCCAAAAATCAAGAGTCTGACACTTAACTGACTGAGCCCCCCAGGCACCCTGAGGTAGTGGCATTTTAACTGTAGCTAGGAAGAGGTGTGGGCATGTCCCCTTAATTGGGGGAATCTGAGCCTCTTGATGTTAAAGGATTATTCCTTAGTCAATGTTAATTAGCCAAAATAATAAAAACAATGACCTCCTCCCAATTAATTTCCTCTTTAACTGCAAAGGGCCCTCAGGGGCCAAATGCCTTCTTAAGACCGGGCTCAGGTCCGGTTCTTAGAGTTCACAGGCCTGAAGACCAGCACACACACCAAGAAGAACGAGGAAGGTAATGCTAACACCGCAAACTGTTCATATAAGGTCAGGGTTCTGATTCAGGTACTACCTCTCCTCCACAAATGGGGCCGATTTCGTCACCACAGGTGATGCCAACTGCCATCAGGAGCTAAATTTCCTGCAGTGTCTTCCTTAGTTCCTTTTTTAACTTAAGGAAGAGAGGAAAGGAACAGGAAGGAGTCTAGCTCAGAAACCAAGAGGCATGCTCTCTTCTTACTGAAGGGTGGTGGTGGGCTTTCCTTGATCATTAAACCGGTTTAAGAGCTGCAGAGCAATGGCCTGCCCCTCTAGCCTAGACCACAGAAATCAATGACCGACAGCTGAAAGCCAGAGCAGCTGGTTATCACCCAATGAAGGGCTGGGTGCAGAGGATTAGAAGTAAGGAACTGTGAGTCAATACCACCGCTGGGTGCCTGCGCACGCTCTCCAACACCTCTGGCCCCGGCTCTTCCCGAGGGGTGTTGGGGGCTGGGCAAGGGGATGCCTTTTCACTCTTAACGTTTTAGGCTGGTGCCCTCCACCCTGCAGCGCAGTGGGCTCTGTCTCTCCAAAGGTTGCTTAATAAGCAGAGGAGAAGAGTCCACCTGGCCCAGGGCCGCCCCACTGCTGACTTCACCAGTCTATGAGCTAAGCATCCCGACTTAACGTAGGCGCATCCTAAAACCGGCAAGGCTAAGGCCACAGTGGGCCACCCAGGTCGCGCGCATGGGCTTCAGAATGGGTTGGTAAGAGAGCCGTCTATCAAGGGCGGTTTCTGCCAGTCTGACCCCACCGCGAGAGGAGGAAGCCAGACTTAACCACTGAAAGTCCTCGTCTTGCTGAAAGGAACGCCTCACCGGGTTGAAACCGCGAGGGCCCTCCCGGTGGTGGCCGCGTGGGCGCGCCCCCGGCTGCCCGTCCCCCGCGTCCCCCCGCGCTCACCCAGCCGTCGTGCGCCTCCAGCCAGGCGCGATGCTGTCCTGTGAGCCGATTGCAGAGGAAATCCACCAGGCGCCCGCAGTCCTGGCGAACGGTGGCCTCCCAGTCCCCCGGCTCCTGTTCCTGATCGGTCCCCGACGGCGATCCCTCCAGCAGTGTTCCCGCAAAGGTCAAGAGCGCCACCACACGGCCCCAGCTTAGGAGTTGGGGGTGGGCGAGTATCTCCCGCTCCACCTGAGCCACCAGCTCGACGCGGTTGCCTTGGTAGCCGCGGTAATGGGACAAGAAGCGCTCGTGACGCTGCCGTACCTGGGCGGCCACCGAGCGCAGCACCGCGGCCTCGGGCGTAGACGGCGCCCGCGCGGGGGTACCGGGCTCCCGGGCGCAGTACTCTAGGTAGTCGGTTAGCAGCCGCGCCGTGCGCTCCCTCAGCGCGTCCGCCATGGCCTGACCTCTCCCCACACGGCCCGAGCCGACCCGACCCGGTTTTCTAGGCCGGGCTGCGCCTCCGCCCAGGGAGGGGCCGCCGCGCCCCGCCCCGGTTCCGCGCGCGGGTCAGTTGTTTTCCTAGGTCCGGAGAGGAGCCTTTCGTGGGAATCCCATTTGCACCTGTTCCGGCCCCAAAGGCCAGGCCCAGTGGTGTGCACGCGTTCACACAGCGATCAGAAACAGAATGAGACTTTTGGGGGGATTATTGTTCAGCTCTGGGCCTGGGGACTAAGAACCCAGAGGGGAGAGTCCGGGAAGTTGAGCTAGACTCTTGTCTCCTCCTAAGAAGAGGTTGACAAAGGCTACCCACAGCCCTCCACTGACGACTCCCTTGCGAGCATTATTAGCACCTCTCCGCTGGACAGAAGCAGCCAGGTGTGGGCCGGATCTGGCATATGCGGCAGGAAGTAGGATCCATCTCTTGCGGGCTGCCGGAGTGCGAATACTGGCCGTATTCAGTCATTCGCTCATATTTATTCAGAGCCTGTTAGCACCGGAATGTAATGGAGAACAAGGCATGTGGCCCCTGCTCTCAAGAACCCTACAGTCTAGCGCTGAAACAAAGAAACAGCCCCCACAGTAGAGTTTAGTTATCACCGTAGTAGGAATAGGTGAGTACTCAGCTCCAGGATAGTGGCTGCTGCCGGTGGCTACCATTCCTATATTGCTTAGAATTCTCTTTACTTTTTACTGGCCAATTCCTCATTACTCCAAGCCTCGGTTATAGTTAATATTTCTTATATTAACCTTTCCTTTCTCTGTTCATGATACTCTATGGCTTCTTTCTCCTGATTGGACCTAGACTGACACAGAATTGGTATTAGTGAAAATTCTGGGCTGCAGTGGTCTGGATTATGTTGAAATATCACACTTGAGGGTGAAAGAGGAGTTGGTGCCCTTTGTATCACCTACAAGAAAAAAGAGGCAAGACATTTGGGAGGTCCTCTTGGATTTTGGAGGCAACACACACCACATATGAATGTGTGAATTCGACCCATCTACAGGCTGGTGGATTGGGAGGAAGAAGAGAAGGTTCTGTAGCACATTTAGGCTATAGTACGAGCTGCTGTACCACCTAGGTCTTACGCTCCAACAGATCAAATGATATGTGATGGGTCAAATAGGGATCCTGTATGGACACTCCAGTAAATACCAATAGGAGAACTATAGCACAGACCTCTAGGTTTTCAAAGAAAATCCGTGTCCTCCTCCTCAGATAGCTATTCTCCTTTCAAGAAGCAGGTTCTGACTTGCTACTGGACCTTGGTAGAGCCTGAATGGCTAACCATGCGATATCAGGTGACCATGTAGCTTGAGCTCTCATCATGTGGATTTTGTCTGACCTACCTAGACATAAGGTTGGGCATGCACAGCAGCAATGTGTCATCAAGTGGAGATAGATAGATAGATAGATAGATAGATAGATAGATAGATAGATAGATTGATTATATATAACTGAACTCAGGCGGATCCATTAGGTACAAGTAAATTGCATGAGTATGTGGTTCAGAGTCCTGCAACACCAATTCTTACTGCTTTGCCTCCTCCCTCATTCCATGCCTATGGCCTCCAAGGGATTGCTTATGATCAGTTGACTGAGGGAGAAAAACTCAAGCCTGGATTACAGATGGGTCTGCAAGTGGAGAGCTGGAGCATTACAGCCCCACTCAGGGGTGACTGTGAAGACCTTGGTAAAGGAAAATCCTCCCAGTGGGCAGGGATTCAAGCCAGGTATTTGACTGCCCACTATGTCTGGAGGAAGAGATGTCCAGAGTACATATTTACATTGATTCTTGGGCAGTTGCTGATGGTTTGGCTGGATGGTCAGGGCCTTGAAAAGACTAGGATTGGAAGATTGGTGACAAGGAAATCTTAGAAGGAGGGATGTGGCTGGATCCCTCTGATTGGGTACAGACTGAAGATATTCAGGTCCCATGTGAATATTAGGAGCAGACTCTTAATAATCAGATAGACAAACTTCTGTGCTTTGTGGAGTCAGAGAGCTTCTTTACCCAGCCAGCATGGTGCTTGTTCTGTGGGCCTGCGAACAAAGAGGTGATGGCAGCAGGGAGAGCGTATGGCAACAGTGGAATTCTCCCTACAAAGGTTGAGTTGGCCACTGGTACTGGTGGGTGCCTCGTCTACCCAACATCAGTGATTCGTTTATAGGGAGCCAAATGAATTTCATCAGAAGGGAGTATAAATCTCTGTGTATTGAGCTCCCGTGTGAACTGTTTTTGACATCTTATGGGTTCCCTTGTGGAGGTCAATGTTTTGATATATGTTCCTATTTTGTCAGAGAGTCATGATTTCCTTTTTGAACATTACATTTTAGCAACAAGCACAGTTTTTTCTTAGATTTGGAGTAGTTTGGTGGTGAGTGGTAAATCCTCCGGCCCTCACATTGGCTAACTCCTCGTAATTATCAGTTGAACCAAACAGCGAGTGAACAAATTAACCTCTACACAGAATTTCTGATCCACATGATGCAAGGAGGCAGTTTGCAGTCAGACTTGGTTAAAATCCTGGCTCTGCCACTTAGAAGCTGTGCAACCACGAGCAAGTTGTTCAACTCTCCTAGCCTCAATTTCCCTACCTAAAAAATGGAGGTAATAAACTGCACCATCCCACTGTTACAAGGATTATGTGACTTGGTGTATGCAAGGTGCTTAGCACAGTGCTTGGCACATAGGAAAAATTCTTTACAGAGAAATTTTTATTATAAGTATGAACTAACCAGGCTTACTATGCTCACTTGTCCCACTTTTAACCGAAAGTCAAAACATAGGGGCGCTTGGGTGGCTCAGATGGTTAAGCATCTGCCTTCGGCTCAGGTCATGATCTCCAGGTCCTGGGATCGAGCGCTGCTCCCGGCTCAGCAGGGAGTCTGCTTCTCCCTCTCCCTCTGCCTCTCTCCCTGCTCATTCTCTCTCTCTGTCTCAATGAATAAATAAAATCTTTTTTTTTTAAAAAGAAAATAAAAATGTAACATTTTGGTGAGCCTTACCTATCTGGTTTCTTTGTTTTGTTTTTTAAATACTGAAAATACCTATAGACTACCTACTATTTTTCCATATATATATTTAGCAGCTTTATTGTGATAAATAAATGTGCAGCCATCACCACTAATTCCATGACCTCAAAGGAAATACTATACCCCTTGGCAGTCCCTCCCTGTTCATCCCACCCCGAGCCCCAAGTAACCACCAAACTCCTTTCTGTCTCTGTGGATTTGCCTATTCTGAATATTTCATATAAACGGAAATATTTCATACATTGTGTAGTCCTTTGTGTCTGGCTTTTTTTGCTCAGCACAATTTTTTCAAGGTTCATCCATGTTGTGGCATGAATCAGTACTTCCTTCCTTTTTTTATTGCCAGATGATATCCCATTGCACGGCTCTACCACGATTTGTTCATTCGTTCAGCAGTCGTTGAACATTTGAGATGTTCCACTTTGGGCTGCTATGCACATTGGTGTTCAAGTTTCTGTGTGGGCATGTTTTCATTTCTCTTGGGTTACAGACCGAGGGGTGTGAAGCCACCTATTATTGGGGAGCACAGATAGGCTGACCTCTGCTTTGTGGTTCCTGGTTTACGATAAGGGCAAGTGTTCACCAGTGATGTATTGGTTAGATAACCTTAGGTTCAAAAGAGGCGATTTCTGTTGTCACAATCTTTGTGTCAATGCTCATACCATACTTCCATTTAGCTATTTATGTGGTTCAATTAGCCAGAGCATCATTCCTGATCCCATTTCCTCACTAGAGGGTCAGCATCTTTTTTACAAGGACACAAGCATACTCATTTCATTTCTTTCACCAGAAATGGCCATGAGTCAGCCCACTGTGGAGATGGACCAGCCCTGAAGGCCAGCCTAGCTCCAGCCACCTCTCATCTAGAGAATGAGGGGTCTGTGCTACGCCTTGAAGAGTGACGCGATTCTCTCCTATCACAGGTGAGAGGGCGAGTGGTTTAGCCTCATGTTCTTGCAAAGGATCCAGAGAGACAAAAAGATTCACTGAGCGCTTTCCCCCAGTTTGCCTCCTCAGAATTCCTGGCCCACCTCAGTCCTGCCCAGTCTAGATCTCCAGGAACTGTATCTATATTTTTAGGACCTGTACTTCTTTTTTTTTTTTTTGAAAGATTATTAGAGAGAGAGAGAGAGAGAATGAGCCGGGGGAGGGGCAGAGAGAGGGAGACAAGCAGACTCCCTGCTGAGCGGGAAGCCCGATGCGATGCGATGCCAGGAGCTCAATCCCAGGACCCTGAGATCACGACCTGAGCTGAAACCAAGCATCAGACGCTTAACCGACTGAGCCACCCAGGTGCCCCCAGGACCTGTATTTTTAACCTGCTGTTGACCTGAGTGGTTTCTCAGCAGGCAAGTTTGGGAGATGCAGGTCTACAAATCCCTGCTCAACCAGCTCTGCAGGGCTTGGGAGGAAGCTAGCTGGCAGCAATAGGGCCCCAACTCCAACGCCAGTTAATCTAACCTATCTGCTGGGCTTAACCCCGGATCCCAAGTGCCCTCCTCTGAAAAGCTTTTCAGCAGTCCACAGGCCCCAGTTGGTCTCTAGCCTTTCCCACTGCCTCTCTGTGCCCCCTTGGAACCATGAGGGCCTCTCCTCCAGCCCCTCTCCTCAGTGACCCTCATCCCCACCCAGCCTTTTCTCCAAGCTCCTGTAAGGGCCTTAATGACCTCAGCGAGTTCTCACACAGTGGGCTCGAGAAGGGCTCATTAGCCCATCAGCTGTTTTCAAAGTAGAGTCCTTTGATCTTGGGAGTTCCCCAAGATCAAAACTAATTTAAATACATAATAATACTCTTTCTTTGTGTGTCTTTTAAGACTCTCATTCTCTGGGGAGTTATCCAGAGGCTCCCGATATGTGGGGAAAGCATTACCAACGGGATGTGTGCTTCTGTATTCTTGTGTTTTACAGTTTTCCTCAGCTTTAATTTCTAATAAAAATATTGATAGATATAACCCACATAACCAAAAAGCTCAAGAATTTTTAAGAGCGTAGAGTGATCATTAAGACCGAACACCTTGAGAACCACTGGCCCAGATGAATCTCTAACTGATAATGACTAACTGGATACATGAGTGGGGGCTGCTTAAGGAGGGGGAGACACTGGGGGGAGGGCTGAGGGGAAGAAAGAGCAAGGGAAGGGGAACAGGGAGGGTGGGAGACGATGGGGGGTAGGGATGGGAGAAAGAGAGAGAAGGGAGGAGGAGGGAATAGGACGGGGAGGGATGGTGGACGGATGGAGGAAGCAGGGAGCTAACCCCTGTTGAAGATGAGCCAAAGGCTTTATGTATTTCAGTGCTGTCCCTCCACACGCGAGGGAACGGAGGCTGAGAGAGAGTCAGATATCATGCATGCTGTAAGTGGTACAGCTGGGTCTGAACCTAGGTGCACGTCGTTTGTCACCATGCTGTCCCCCTCTAACTTACAGCCGCATCCTGGTAATCAGTGGTGCCACCCTCTCGCTGGCTGGCCAAGAAGCCATGAGAGTCCGGGATACAAACACCTTTATGACCTTTAAGCTGTTTATAATCTAGGGATGTGTAGAGGAGGTCAAGGGGCGGAAAAGGGAAGTGGATATGGAGTGCCTGCCTCTGGCTCATTCCAGAGTAGGGCTGGCAGCTGGGCCCCACTCCTGCGAGGCTGCCTACTCCAAAGCAGCTGCCTTGACTTCGGTTCACAGGTATTTCCCATAAATGCCCATCACGGCCGCCCTCCTTACCTGACCCCCCCTTCCCGCCTAGCCCTTGTCTTCTCTGACTATGCACACCTGAGGGTGCGTCCGTGTGGACCCTTCACCACAGCTGGTTTGGTAGGTTTGCCCCCAAGGCCTCTAAGAAAAACTGATTACAAAACTCCACTCAGCATTATTTTCAATATGCAAAATACAATTTATTACCTGGAGGTACCCTTGGAGTCCCGACATGGGTAGCATATTCCAAACCAAGTGTTTCAACGATAAATACTACACAACACCCACTATGAAATCAAATACTTCCGGGGGGGTGGCTTTCTGCCAACGGGGATAAGTGAGTGTTCTAGGGAATACTTCCCGGGTTTTTTTTTTGATTGGAAAGTTGTGGACCGTTTTTGCACATACACTGAAGGTGCTCTCTGCCTCTCCAGAGATCTAACCTTGAATTTGCTTCCCTTCAGTCTAGGTGGCTTTTCCTTTGTCCTGTCTTCCTTCACTTCTGGGAGGTCCAGGTCAGAGGGCAGAGACACTAAAGGGTCTGTAGGAGAGAGACAAGGGGATACCATAAGGAGGAGACCAGGAGCAACTCTGGGACGTGCTGGGCGTGGAGCTGGGGAATCCCGTGAGACGCACTCAGGGGCCTGACTCCTTCAGCAGCTGTGCCCATTTCCCCGAGCCCCTGCCAGCCTGGAATCCACTGGGCTCTTTGGAGTCCAGCAGGGGCCTTTTCCATTTCTCTCTCTACCCCAAGGCGTGCTGTGTAGTAAAACCCTCAGTAAAATGTTTGCTTGGCAAATGACTGAATCTAACCACCATATTTACTTTAAAAGAATTGATGGAAAAGCTAGCTTGGCTGGTTTTGGATTGACTGGCCCATTAGGATACAAATCATTCTGAGGGTGGGCCTGGCACATGTCCTGATGTTTGCAAGAGGCCAGCCACGTCCAGACCTGTCTGTTGGCTGTGCCCTGCTGCAGCTCTGGAGGGCCTCTCTGAGCAGCAGGGCCTGGGGCTGGGCCCATGGGGCCAGAACCACGACTAGGAGAGGGGTCAGGCTGGAGCAGGGCCCAGAGAGGAGACGGGACAATCCAAGGCACTCAGGCACCATGGGACCCGAGACCACTCACAGGGCAGGCCTCAACCGGGAATGACTTTTGGTGTGTGAGGTGACCTTCTATTTCTCTAAGTAATGCATGCCATCTTAATGAACAAGGAATTTTCTAAAACAAAGAATAAGCCTCAACACCTTAAAAACAAGGAGGAGATCTTACAACAAAAACACTTGGTGTCTTCCAGAAGGAAATGCTGAATTTCAAAGACAAGTATTTTGTGAGTTATTTTTTTCTCAATATCAGAGAGGCAAAGACGTTATCACTTGGGACCTATCAACTAATTTGTGTATGTAATTATATTTTCAATGCAATAAATATGAATATACTTCATATAGATATGATCTACTATGATACTTTTAGTATCCTGAGTGGATACTACTAATTCTAATACATCTAATACTACTAGCAGGTTTTTAAGTAAGTTTACTATCTTGTGTTCCCACACAGAAAGGTTTTGGTTGCTTTGAGAAGCCTTTGTGTCACAAAGAGCATTCAGCTTTTCCCTCCAATGACAGGAAATATCCTGTCCAAGGGATCCATCACATCATCACAGAATTCATAAATCAAACATTCTGTCCACTTTATGCACATCTTTCTTCCATTTATGACAGTTCACACAGAGGGAAATGTTTGATCTGAAAAAAGACAATGCGAGCCTGAAAAAGAAACTTTTACAATAAAAACATTTTTTTAAAAAGGGATTTTGTCCAATTACGTTTGGAATTAGACTTTTCTTCTATCACAGACCAGTCAACATGGCCGGCCTCGTGCAGCCCGCTGTTAAAGTCAGCACTTCTAGAGGAAAGTTCCAAAAGACACAGCACACTGAGAAGAATCAGACGTTAAAGTGCTCTGAAAACAAATTTGATTCAAGGAAGTACTAGGGGATTTATTAAATGCTGAGTCCTACAGGTAATAGAATGTGTGGAGACGGTATAATTAGAATAATCTTAAAAATGGATACATTTTTAAAAAGTATTCAAAATGCAAAACACTGTACTTGAAGGTGTTCTAGTGCTGAAGGCCCACACTGGGGTCTTTCCAGGGGTGGTCATTTTAATAGTAATATCGGGGATGCTGAGTGAACTTGCAGCCGCGGAGTCACTCCTTTAAGCTACGTTGCAATAACCCTCAGATCCTCTAGACGAAAGATCTATTTACATACGACGGTTTCAAATTCTACCCTCAGGTGCCCATGTGTGCATCGTGAGGAGATGATTAAGCCCAGACCTGCAAAGCCACAAACAGATAATTGTTAGTCCCCGAGTAGTTAATGACTTGTGAAACTTGAGTTTAAAGAGATAAAAGCAAGGTCAGTTACACACACGCACACACACACACACACACACCATCCAAAATGAAGCACGCACATGTCTTGGGTGGTAACACCTTACTCCTGGCAACTCAAAGGTGCTTCTTGGGACCTGTCTCTTCCCCTAGCTCTGCTCAGTCATCCGCAGGGCATCTGTGGCCTTCTTACTAGGGGCTGGTAATGCTTAGGCTGAGTACCATCTGTACCCACACCCCCCCCCGCCGAGTACATTAATGTGACTTTATTGATTTAGGAAACTCTTGCCCTGGAAGATGAACTCACAGATAACTTTGTTGTTTGTTTCAGGAACTTCCAAAAATCCTTGATTTATCCTAAGAGTAGACCACTCAACTACTCTCTTTAGAAAAGATACTCACTTCTCAGGCCTACACAGAGCATCACAAATGACGGTTACTTTTCAAGACTGTCTTCAAAATCCTCTCCCTTCCCCAAGTATGTGTCCAGCAATCTTAAAACTATTGTGCCACAAATTTGTCTAATCCTAATTAAATCCCTCCATCTGGCCTTAAACCAGAACCCCCTCCCCACACCTCATAAATATCTTTGTTCTCCCCTTCTGAGTTGCCACTAAGACTGTCAAGTTTGTGCTCTGTCCCCACTGAGGTAGGAAATACGCTTAGCTTTGCTTTATGAACAGGCTATTTTGGAGGTATTTCTGGTGAGCCAACATCCAGCAAGGTCATTGAGCTCTTTGAGAATATGATGAAAGCCACGAGGACACTTTCCCCGGAAAAATGGACACATGAAATGTGACCTTTAATTTCAGGAGCTTCACGGGTTCCCTAAAACCTCTCTGTGGGTCTCACAAAGGTGTGTCACCACGGAATAAGAATGCCCCACTATTGAGAGGTGAGCCTGGCACCCTGTGGTTTGCCAAAGGCTAGAATCAGAAGAATCCTACTTTCAGGATCAAAAGGGACTGTTGGGGTCACCTGGCTCCATTATTACCTCAATTTCATGCTGATACACAGCTGTTTAACCTATGCTCGAACACCTGCATTGATGGGGGGCTCACGACCTCTCCGGGGCAACGCATTCCTTCTGTGGCCACGGACAGAGCTGAAGTTAGAGCTGTGTCTGGCGAGCATCACCCAGGCTTATTCCGAGCCTCTGCTTTAAAGAGGGCCAGCCACTCCTCTCACACACACAGTAAAATAAAAGAACTTCTCTCTTACTCTTAGGGTATGATCCCATGATCCTGAGCAAAAAGCAGTTCCATCAGGGGAAACTCGGAGAGTACTAACGCGGTTTTCATGTCCAAACAGGATGGAGACTCGGGACCCCTTCAGAACATCCCAGACGTTGATGGTATAATCATTGTATCCAGCAAAGAGCAGGCGCCCTCAAAGCAGGAGGATATGATGGTTACCGAACCAGTTCCACCCTTGCTGTTTTTCTTTTCATGACTCGCTCACACAGTCATGCAGTCGCTTGCTCATTCATTCATTCATTCATTCATTCCACAGTGATTCAGTGCCACTATGTGCCAGGCACTGTGCTTTGCCCTGGGGGTTCAGAGAGCAGTCGCGGCCCCTCGTGGAGGGTGCTGGTGGGCAGGCAGGCAGACACGTGAATGGACACATGGTAGCACATGGAATAAGGGTGTCCCTTTTCAGGGATGAAGGGGAGACTGGAAGACTGAGGAGGAAATGCCTGATGAAGGGCACTGCAGGTGGGAAGCTGCACACATCACTGTCTTGAAGAAGAGCGGCACAGCCTTCATTTCCCGTAAAAGGAAGGGGGTGGGGAGGCTGCTTCGGGTGGGGTGAAGTGGGGTGGGGCATCGTGGAGGAAAACCGGGGCAAATGCAGACTGCTTAACCCACTGGCTCATGGGAAGTTCGGCTGAGGGAAAGCTTGATCGAGAGCGGGGTTGCCTTTAGCTCCCGACTTACAGTCCCCGGAAAGTTTCTGAAAGGAAATCTTACCACTGAGGGAGAAGTCCACACTGGATGCTCCAAATATGATACTCTCTTTGGAATAGATGGAGACCTCCCTGTCTGCCCGGAGGTCGTAGAGGCGACACTGGGGTGACAAACGTGACAAACGTGACAAAGCAGCACTTATGTCTGGCTCCGGGGTGGGGAAGAGAGGACCACAGGGCTATCAGCAGGTGCTGGTGGCTTGTGTAGTTTGGGGGATGAGGGAAATACCTCTAGTTTTCTCCCCTAGTATTTTCTACCTTAATCCCGATTCCTATTAATCTGCAGGGATCAGTGGAGATTCAAAGAAACAGCAAATACAGAAGATTTGGGGGGGTACAAAAACAAAAATGAAACCCCTCTTTTTTTCTGATAAAGGATACATATTCATTGTAGAAAATACAGAAAAACTCCTAAAGAAGGAAACAAAAATCACCCCAAATCCTAGAGGTATTTACTAACACCTAGGCTACTTCCTTCAGTCTTATTTCCATTTTATGTGTGTCTTTAAATGGAGTGGATATTTCATGATGACTTCTATTAACATCAGGTTATGAGCATTTTTCTCATATCATTAAATAATCATCAAAAACACATGACTAACATGGTTGTTGAATATTCCTTATGTGGATATATTAAATCTGTTTAGCCATACCCTGTTAAGACTTTTGATTGTGTCTGATTTTTCTCCTTTATAAATGAAATTTTGATGACCATTCTTACATAAAAATCCTTATACATATCTCTGATGTTTTCCTTAGGATAGTTAAGGAACAGAATCCTCAGAATAAAATTGTTTCAAGAAATAGTATGACCAGATCAAAGGGGAGGGATGTTTCGAAAGCTCTTGGCTCATATGGCAAGACTGTTTTCCAGAAGCGTGGAACCAATGGGCCTAACTCTAGGCTCTTTAACCACATTACGTCCACAATATAGCATTTCACTGCTAATCCAAATGAGCTCTGTTCACTTAAGCTTGCATTTATTGGATTACAGGTGGTCTGAAAATGTTTTTAGGTGTTTATTTGCCATTTTGGATTTCCTACTTTGTAAACAGTCTACATTTTATCAAACTCTTTTTAAAAATTGGGGTGTTTGGGGCACCTGGGTGGCTCAGTTGGTTAAGTGTCTGCCTTCGGCTCAGGTCATGATCCTGGAGTGCCGGGATCGAGTCCCGCATCGGGCTCCCGGCTCAGCAGGGAGTCTGCTCCTCCCTCTGATCCTCCCCCCTCTCATATGCTCTCTGTCTCATTCTCTCTCAAATAAATAAATAAAATCTTTAAAAAAAAATTGAGGTGTTTATCTTATTGATGATACAACCCCATTCATATCTAAAGGATTTCAATTTGGTCTGTCATATAGATGGCAAGAACTTTTCGTAGATGTATGCCCTTGTATTTTGTTATACATTTTTTGGCATATGGAAGTTTTACATTTTCATTTTCATTTTTTAAAAAGATCTTATTAATTCGGTATTTATCTTCCCTCTGGCAAACCCTGAACCAACCACTTTCCCCAGGTTGCCTGGGGAGGTATAGGAAAAGGAACATATAGGGCAGATGAGACGTGGGAGAAATAATACGTACCAAAAATATTTACTTATAGTAGTATTTCTTAACAGGAAAAAAAAAAAAAAACCTTGATCCTAAATGTCCAAAAATTGACTAGTTAAGTACATAATGGCATGTCCATAACATGGAATACTATTCAATCACTAAGAAAATATAATGTAGATTGGCTCCACTACCACATGGGAAAATGTTCACAATCCATTGCTAAGTGAAAAAAGCAAATTATAAAGCATTTTGTTTTAAAATAAAAAAGACAGAAAGGAATGCACCCAACTGTGACTTTACTTGGGTTGGGAGAATAAGGTATTTTAACCCTCTTCCCAAGGCTTCCTCAATGAATTCACTTTACTACGGTAATCAGAAAAACATTAATTTTGAAAAATAAAATTAAATCACTGTATCTCTCTTTCAAATAGGAAAAGCTCTCATAACTTAGAAGCATACCGTAGCATCATCTGATCCTGAAGCAAAGGCATCTCCACTCGGGTAGTACCTGCAGAGAGAAAGTTTGGATAGAAAGCATTTATTCAGAGTGGTGATTCTCAATCCTGGATGCCCATCAGAATCATCTGGAAATCACCTGGGAAAGTTGTCCCATGCTGGGCCCGTGGAATTGGAATCAGAATCTCCACTGCTGGGGACATAAGGACCACTCTTTATAGAGGCCAGAAGGGGAGGCTGATCTGGCTGGCCCACTGGCCTCTAGTTTTTTTCCCCGTAAGTAGGGGACAGTAACAATGGCCTTGCAGAGTGTTGATGAGGAGTAACTGAGATAATGTGTGTATTCGCACCAGGCACTGAACACAGAGCAGGCCGCCTGTAACCTTGGCTTCCATTGATCACACACCTCATTCCTGGGACTTGGCTCAGCTCCAGGCTAAGAAAGTGATTATCTGCAGACACTGGAATGGCATACACAAAACCTCGTGCAGATCTCCGCGCTGACCATTGCCTCCCTGGGATACCTCTGGCAAGGGACTTTACCTTGCCCAGCCTCAGTTTCCTCATTTGAAAAGTGAGGATGATAATGTACTTTCCCTGTTGCAAAGACTGAATAAGATAATATAGGCAAAGAACTTGGCACCGTGCCAAGTGAAAAGCATTTAATAAATGATGCTTATTACTGTTATGTTCATTCTCTTCTCGGTAATCAGGCTTCCTGGGGAGAGGGGAGTCTACACTGAGACCTAATGGATGTGAGAGGAAGAGGGGTCAGGATAGGGACAGCAGCACAGGTGAGAGAATGTGCATTTTATTTATTTATTTATTTTAAAAGATTTTATTTATTTATTTGAGAGAGCGAGAATGAGAGAGAG